CTACAGCTGCTTTTACTTTCCTATTTTCTATATATTGCTGTATGCTTATTTCCTTTAAAGCAAGAAGGTAAAATAGTGAAGGCTGGCCCAACTTGAAAGAGGACTCCCCCCTGTGACTTCTCTTGGAAACCTGGGCTGACAAATTACTGTTCCAAAGTGACGCGGTTGGAAAATTGAAGTTTGATCTCAAAGCTGATTGGATCCAGCCAACATGATCGTCGCGAGACGAAACTCACGACGTGCCAAAGCTGTATTTCTGACACAAAATGCTTGTCAGGGTTAGCGTTTCCCTGTGCGATTCTGGCATGGCATATGCATGCGACGGGTTGAGTCTTTCAGATCCAGTTGGGCCCAACTCGGATTTCAAGTTGGGCCTGGGTTCATAATTGCTGCAAAGAGCACTTCTCCATCTCCTACGCGAAAGTCCATTTCCTGCTAGTTGTAGTCTACTAACAGACGCGTAGCTACCTAGTTCCGCTAGTTGACCCCCTGTTTTTTCTGCCTTAGTGCCTAGGAACAGTGAGGAAAATGTGACGCAACGATAAAGGGAGAGAGTGGCGCGGCGGAGGGAAAGAGAGATAGTTACGCGGCGGGAGTGAGAGAGAGCAACGCGATGGAGAGAGAGCAGCGTAGCGAGATGGGGGAGAGACAGAGTACCTATTTGCGGGAGAGAGAGAGAGAGAGAGAGAGAGAGAGAGAGAGAGAGGAGAGAGAGAGAGAGAGAGAGAGAGAGTAGCGCGATGGGAGAGAGAGAAGGAGTAGCGCGGCGGGCGAGAGAGAGAGTAGCGCGATGGAGAGAGAGAGAGTAGCGAGATGGGAGAGAGACAGAGTAGCGCGGTGGGAGAGTGAGAGAGAGTAGCGCGATGTGAGAGAGAGAGAGAGAGAGAGAGAGAGTAGCGAGATGGAGTGAGACAGAGTAGCGCGGCGGGAGATAGAGAAAGTAGTGTGATGTGAGAGAGAGCAGCATGGTGAGATGGTAGAGAGACAGAGAGTATCGCAGCGGGAGAGAGAGAAAGTAGCGCGATGGGAGAGAGAGCAGCGCAGCGAGATGGGAGAGACAGAGTAGCGCGAGGGAAGAGAGAGTAGCGCGATGGGAGAGAGAGAGAGTAGCGTGGCTGGAGAGAGAGAACAGCATGGCTGGATAGAGTGTGTAGCACCGTGGGAGAGTGTAATGCGGCGCGACGAGAAAGAGAGCGAGGCGGAGAGCTGCAAAGAGTTGCGCTGTGAAAGAGAAGGTGGCGCATGGCGACAATCTTGCTCCTTTGGACTTACACTCACCCTCTCCCCCATCATCACCTCTCCCTTCGTTTATGCACCTCTTCCTCTCTCTCTCCACGCCTCTCCCTCTCTCTCTCTCTTCGAATCTTCCTCTCTCTCTCTCTGCACCTCTTCCTCTCCCTCTCTCTCTCCGCGCCTCTTCCTCTCTCTCTCTCCGCACCTCTTCCTCTCTATCTCCGCGCTCTTCCTCTCTTCTCTCCGCGCCTCTTCCTCTCTCTCTCTCCGTGCCTCTTCCTCTCTCTCTCTCAGTGCCTCTTCCTCTCTCTCTCTCCGTGCCTTCTCCTCTCTCTCTCCGTACCTCTTCCTCTCTCTATCCGCGACTTCCTCTCTCTCTCCGAGCATCTTCCTCTCTCTCCTCCGAGCATCTTCCTCTCTCTCTCCGAGCATCTTCCTCTCTATCTCCGCCCCTCTCCTTCGATTTTGCCAGGTCTTTCCATCTCACGCTCCCCCTCTGAACACTTCTTCCTCACCGTCATTCTCCGCCGCTCTCCGCACCTATCGCCACGAGTCTCTCTCTGTGTCGTGATTTTGGTATTTTGCACTCTGTATTTTACTCGCAACGTTTTATTTTGCTGGTACTTTGAAGTGACACTTGAGGGGGAAATGCGTGCCTTGGGCTCTCAAAATCAATGTTTCAGCTTGTCTTTCACAGGGTAGCGGGATGGCTTGTGATTTGCGACAATCATGCAAAATGTTCACTCGTAATTTGTCGCCAACTATCTTACAAACACAAACTTCCCCCCTAACAAAAAAATGTCTCGCAAGTTTCCAACCAACACACTCTTGAGCCGAACTATTTCGAGTTGGGTCCAACTTGAAAAGGGGGTCACTATTCTAACCCTCTCGCTTTAAAACCACAGGCTAAAATAGCATTGGGGGGCTTCAAGAGCGCCGTTCTTGAAAATAGTTCTTTTGAAAAAAAAACGGGTTCCCAGTACGATTTTGCGGGGTGCGTTTTTGGGCAGCTGAACAAATGATAGAAACGCAGTGGCGCCGATTTGCTCTCACATACTAGGGTTCAACAACTCAATTTCCGCTGCACTACTCAAGTATCTTGTACAACTGGGACTTAGTCTCTGAAAGATCCTAAGGCTTTTTCTCGACCCAACAACTATCAAACACATTCTTGCACCCACCGACATTCAAATACTGCAGCATTTCCAGCTAAGGCAAATCTTAAGGACGTTGTTAGGAGTTTTGACTTCATGTATCATTTTCATAAAACGTGGTTTTCTGCCTAATCAAGCATCTCACGAAATGGCACCATACCATGCTAGGACGTCATCTGGGCCAATTGTATATGCCGCAGTTCTCAAGCTAGTCAAAGATGTCAGATGAGCAAATGGAGTCCATTCCTCAGCTGGAACATTCATGGGAAAATATATTATGGAGAAGTGGGGTATCGATCCCCATACCTCTCGCATGCTAAGCGAGCGCTCTACCATCTGAGCTACATCCCCATGTCCGATGTAAGTAGATTATAGTATAACAATTAATTACATACGAAAAGGAAGCCAATGCATGATCCAGCAGCATAGCATGCCTCTGAGCAATTTCCTTGGGTAATGAAAGAGCTAACACTCGCTTTCAGTGGAAAGAAGAGAGCAGGGACAGAGAGAGGTACCCACATGAAGCCAATACCGGATCCAGCAGCATCACGTGCCTCTGCGCGATGTCCCTGGGTAGCTTCTCGTAGATGAGCTGATGACGCGAGATGGCAGGGGAGGGGGAGGAGAGGAGTTAGGGGAGGAGGGGTGCGGAGACATGAGGGGGCAATCAAAGGATGCATAAGAGCGATGCCCTTGGGTAGCTTCTCGTATATGAGCTGATGACATGATATGGAAGAGGAGGGGATGGGGAGGACAGAGGAGGAGAAAGAATGCAGCGATCAAGCGATGCCTCTGAGCGATGTCCCTGAGTAGCTTCTCGCATAGGAGCTGATGGGAACGTGGCAGTGGAGGGGAGGGGGACAGGAGGGGAAAGGGTGGGAGAGATGAAGGAACCAACGATAAACTCGAATGGTTCATATTTTCTAAATGAACTGGCCATCCCTCTCCCCCGTTTGCTGCGGCTGACCACATAAAGCAAGACACCTCATCTCTCACTTGCCTCCCAAAGCTCCCCTCCCTGTGAATGGGCAACATGTTTTCAAGAACGTTCGCACATGCTCCCTTATGGCGTGCTCTCGATGCACATGCCCATGCTCATGCTCCCTTGCCGCATGCATATATCCCATGCAGATTTTTCTGCTATAACGGAAGCTTCTGCGGAAGTGCCTGATGCAGACAGAGCTACTTTAGCTCTGCAATTCTCCAGGGAGAAGTCTGCCTCCAGATTGTGTGCTCAGCAACACAGCTTGACAAAGCTTGCATTCACACAAAATTCACTAGAATCAAGAATAATACAGAGTATAGTACACAAGGCAAACGCTAATACTACCTCATTGAACACTGTTAGAACGTTCCTACTAGAACGTTGACATAATTTTTTTCCAACCGCACTTAGCCAAGTCAACTGTTGCGCACATTTCCACAGTTACGAAATGTGCGTCACCTGTGTTCAATTTCTCAATGTCGTAGGTAGATTTGCCTTTTCGATCTAGATCAGTTCATTTCAAAACTTCCAAAGGGGCAGAAATTCGCGCACTTTCGGAACGGCCCCTTAGCGCCAGAAAGTCATTTCTGTCGAGGAGTCGTTCGCAGAAGAGAGTTCCGCGAACTCTTTCTGTAGCGTTCCTACAGAGAGAGTTCCGGAATCTTTCTGCAGCGTTCTCACAGAAAGAGTTCCGCGAACTCTTTCCGTAGACCTCCCACAGAAGAGAGTTCCAAACTCCTTCTGGAAAGCTCCCACAGAAGAGAGTTCTGAACTCTTTCTGCAGCGCTCCCACAGAAGAGTGTTCCGAACTCTTTCTGCAGGAGCGCTCCCATAGAAGAGAGTTCCTGCGAATGGGCCCTCGCCAAAAGGGTCTTCTCCATTCAGTAATCTGCATAGATCACTCCCACAGAAGACCGCTTTTGTCGTAGAAGCCACATGTAGAAATTCGTCTCTCGCAGGAGCTGCGTTATGAGCAACATAGTCCAATCGACGGGACTGCGCTTCGTCGACGAGCATTTCCGTAGAACCTCGCCTTGTCGACAAATCTGCTATTCGTCGATAGGCCTTTCTCTGCAGTGCTTACATCCACACCTGCTTACTGAAGTCGCCCTCCCGTGGAGGGGCCGACAGCCCGGCTGAGTAAACGCGCGAATAGTGATTCGACCTAAACTCTCTTGAAAAGTTCATGAACTTCAAAATCGGCAACTCTAGCAGTCGCGGGATATCAGCAAAGCAGGGGATTATTTCAGCCAGCTACCAGCAAGGCAGGTCGTGGAAGCAAGGCCCAAAAAAAGGACGCTACGATACCGTAGTCTCTGTGTGATGCGGTGTGGTGCGGAACTCTTAATTCAGCAGTCAGCAGCACGTACAGTAGTTTGTGCCTCTAGAAGGTAGCTCCTAGGAGTGGAGGTGCTAGTATTGGGGGGAAAGTGCTCTGCACTGTAGTTGGCGGGGGGTTATGCACGACTATAAACCTAGCTATGCAGAGGTACCGTATGTATATTTATGCAAAATTATTGGGTAGGTTTTGGAAAATATTGCAAATGACAAGCACGACGGAAGTACTCATTCAGTGCAACTACAACTACCGTTGGATCTCAACCAGGTACGGCGTGTCAGAACTCAGTCACTAACCACTCAGTTAAAAGGGCGTATTACGTAGCGGGTTAGTGCGCCCACAACCCGCAGGCAAAGAGGCCTGTAGCCTTCCTCGAGGATCTCTCAAGGGTAAACCCAACGGGTCTCGACACCCCCCTGCGCTGGGATAGGCGGAGGACACAAGTGTCAACTTATACATGTTAGCTGTGTACAAGTTATAGGCTAGACTGGGGTATGTTTCTAGTGAGTACAACAGCTAGTATTTGTTCTAGGTTTCCACTTCTAGTTCATTATTCAGTTCTTACTTTAACATGGTATCACGCGTAGGTTAGGATCCCCCACCTACCGCTTCCGCCGTACCCTAGCTAGGCCCCGCCGCTTCCCCCTGGGCCCCGTCGCGCCTCCTAGCCTCGTCGCGCCCCTCCTGGGCCCCGCGCCTCCTAGCCCCGTCGCGCCCCTCCTGGGCCCCGTCGCGCCTCCTAGCCCCGTCGCGCCCCTCCTGGGCCCTGCCGTGCCTCCTAGCCCCGTCGCGCCCCTCCTGGCCCATCGTGCCCCTCCTGGCCCCGTCGCGCCTCCTAGCCCCGTCGCGCCCTCCTGGGCCCCCGCGCCTCCTAGCCCGTCGCGCCCCTCCTGGCCCCGTCGCGCCTCGTGCCCAGTCGTGCCCCTCCTGGCCCCGTCGCGCCCCTCCTGGCCCCGTGCGCCTCCTGCCCCGCACGCCCTCCTGGCCCCGTCGCGCCTGCTAGGCCCCGTCGCACCCTGCCTGGCCCCGCCGCCCTGCTTGGCCCGTCGCGCCCTGCCTGGCCCCGCCGCGCCCGCTGGCCCCGTCGCGCCTGCCTGGCCCCGTCGCGCCTGCCTGGCCCCGCGCGCCCCTGCCCCGCGCCCCGCCCCGCTTGGCCCCGTCGCACCCCCTGGCCCCGTTCGCGCCTGCCTGGCCCCCTGCCCGCCGCGCCTTCCTGGCCCCGCAGCGCCTGCCTGGCCCCTGCCGCGCCTGCCAGGCCTCGCCGCGCCTGCTGGCCCCACCGTGCCTCCCTGGCCCCGACGCGCCTCCCTGGCCCTGCCGCGCTTCCCTGGCCCCGCCGCGCCTCCCTGGCCCTGCCGCGCCCTGCTGGCTCCGTCGCGCCGCCTGGCCCCGCCGCGCCTCCCTGGCCCCGCCGCGCCTCCCTGACACCTGCCGCGCCTGCCTGGCCCCCGGCCTTGCCTGGCCCCGCCGTGCCTGCCTGGCCCTGCCGCGCTCTCTGGCCCCCGCCGCCTCCCTGGCCCGCCGTGCCTCCCTTGCCCCGCCGAGCCTGCCTGGCCCCGCCGTGCCTGCCTGCCCCGCCGCGTCCTGCCTGGCCCCGCCACGCCTGCCTGGCCCCGCCGCGTCTCTCTGCCTCTCCCACTACTCGCCCGGCCCCTCTTCGTGCCTGCTCGTCCTGCCGCACGCCTCGGGCTCCGTCTCCTCTGCTCGCCAGTGCTTGGGCGCCTCGCGGCCGCCGTGCTGGAGAGTGCTGTCGCCATGTCCCTGCGTTGCTGTGTTCCTGTGGAGCTGTGCCGCTGACCCTGCACGATGGCTGACTTCGTGCTCCGACTGGACACCGAGGGCCATGCGGCTGACTTCGCCGCCTGGCTCTCCGATCTCCGCCGCCACCTTACAGGTCAGCACCAGGATGGCCACTCTTTGATTGCCCATGTCGACGGCTTGCTCCCCCGCCCCCCCGCACCTGTTCCCCTCCCTGCTGACCCCTCCTCTGATGACCGTGAGACC